AAAAAAAAAAAAAGAAAAAAAGGTCTCTTAATACTTGAATTAATTGGGCCTATATATCGAAAATGTGCAGATAATAAATGGGCTGACCCGTCCCAACAAGAAAGGCCGTAAATTTCACATGATCCAACCAAATTATGGAGAGGAATTTAGCCTAAAGGATATAAAAGTCAGAAACCTGTTGGCCGGCCAATCTGTCTGCAAAAAAGGAAGAAAAGGACAACCCATCCCATTTGAAAAGCACGCAACCATCAGTCTTGTTCCCATCAAAAATTTAATGTTGACATATTGGGCAAAAGCTGGCACCGTGTAATGGAGTTCCCTGTGGTGCCGGCGATTACCTGGTTGGAGTCGGAGACAATGCTAGTTTCCTCACCACTTTGCTTCCAGAGGTTTCATGTGGCTAATAAAAGCTTTGAGAGAGTATGGTTTCTTCCCGAAACTCATTCTTTGGCTAAGGAACTAACCAAAATTCCGATTTATGAAGCCATTGTTGGAAAAATATGTAAGAACAAGAACCTCTTCTATGCCCAGCTATCTTTATTCAAGATAGAAAGGCTTAGTTTTCAGCTCATGGACAAGATTTTGGCTGAAGGAGGAACACAGAGAACTCACTGAAACTTTCGTTTGAACAACCAAATTGAAGAGAAGAAGTCCCCCTTTTCTACTCTAGTTGTGCATATTTTTTTTAAAAAATGCTCCAGCACAAAAATTAAAATGGCCTCTATCTTTGTCTTTGTTGCTGAATTTTTTGTGCTTGAAACCCAAAGCAATAATAGATTCCCTTTTTTGTGAATTTTTTCCAGATAGAAGATGCTAGATAAAATTATTTCGATTTGCTTGCCACCATTTTGCTCTGTTTTTTATCCGTGTGTATGGCTTCGCATCTCGTTTGGTATTGGATTTGCTCCAAAGAATTTGTGGTTATGGCAAAACATGGGGAGCAAAATATGACCTCTTTCTTCGACCACACTTAACTGCAACTGCCGTTTTTGAAGAAATTTTCAGATTCCAGTAGCCATGTTTTGTGGCCGGACTAACCATTTTTCATGGTGGATTTTTTAACCCGGGTTTCTTCAACCCTTTGCCGGAAAGCTCCTTTCCTTCAAGGAGATCTTCAATACCCATATTCTTCTATTTTTTGGGAATATTCGGTCACTAACTTTGTTATTTTTTGGTTGATGAAATGCCCGGAAAAATTCCATTTTTCAGTGGTTCTTCCCTTCTGTTTTTGGTCAAGTAACTGCCATTTTCTGGTGGCTGTCTTTGCTATTTTTTGGGTAGAGAACTGTCCGGAAAATTCTATATTTTTCGATGACCTTTTGATTGTGGTATAACATGGTTAATGTCACGTTTTCCACAGACGGCGCCAATCTGTTGACCCCAAAAAATGAGCTCAACAGAATCCCCACCACGTCCCCTCCACGTGGACATCACCTACACACTGAACACCCCGTTAGGAGGCAAATGCCGCCGGTCAAGAAAAAGGTCCGGCGACCGTTCGCACTCCAACGGTCAAGTCAACTACCGGACGAGGAAAATATAAGTGCAAGAGAGGAAGAGGGGAAAATGATAGGGTTAGAGAACCTCTCTTAAATGAGATGGATCACGCATATATATNTGTTGACCCCAAAAAATGAGCTCAACAGAATCCCCACCACGTCCCCTCCACGTGGACATCACCTACACACTGAACACCCCGTTAGGAGGCAAATGCCGCCGGTCAAGAAAAAGGTCCGGCGACCGTTCGCACTCCAACGGTCAAGTCAACTACCGGACGAGGAAAATATAAGTGCAAGAGAGGAAGAGGGGAAAATGATAGGGTTAGAGAACCTCTCTTAAATGAGATGGATCACGCATATATATAGAGAAGTGAAATGTAAATGGGCCATACAGTTTATGGGCCTTGCCAAAGCCCAAAACCGAGGCTTTGAGACTCTCAGCCGAGGCACTTTGTAAGTGGATGAGGCCCTTCAGCCGATGCTCCAATATAAGTGGATGAGGCCCTTTAGCCGAGGCTCCTTATAAGTGGTTGGAGCCCTTTAGCCGAGGCCCTTTATATGTGGTTGAAGCCCTTCAACCGATGCTCTTTGTCCCGAGGCTCTTCACAACGAGAACCTCCAATCCGAGGCTCCCTTAGACCGAAGCCCATACTGTTGGGATCTTTGACTTGTTGGCCCCCCTTGTGACTTTTCGTTGACTGTCCTGCCTACGTGGCGTGCCACGTGACCTTGCTTCTTTAGACCTCGAAATCGAGGGATAACAGTTTATATCTTCTATTTTGTGCTTATCATTTGCTATGTGGTAGTTCTTGATTCTAGCTTCTTACAGTGAAAAGACTGCATTTTGAAGTGTACAAAAGTGATATCCTCTGTTAATTTTATTGATCAGCATCTGCATCTAATTATGGTTCAGCTTTATGGTTAATGGGATTTACTTATGCCACAAAAGAAAAGGGTTAATTTTTGTGATTTCGCTTATTTAAGATCTTCTATGAACCAATTTGTGGTGTTCTGTTGGGATAATGCACAATCAGTAGTTGGGGGACTATGTTTCTTTTAACCCATTTGCTTAACCTTCTGTTCTTTTCCCTTTTTCTTTCAACATTGTTTTGAACTAAAAATATATAATGCGCTCATTTGTCTATGATAAAACTGTTTTGTAATTTATCTGCTTTATCTTGGTAGTCACTTCCTAGCTGTGGATGGAACTGGATGTGATACTGTTTAATTTTGGTATTGAAGGGGGGCACACATTAAATTTGGTGTGGATTGAGAGATTGGTTGAGTTTGATTAGCTTAAGAAGTCTGCATTCATCCCAGTGGCCTCAGAATTAGGTAATGAGAATTTCTTCGAAAAGCCTTCCTTAATTAATTATCTGAATAGCTCAATCAGCTCTTTAGCAGGTAAATTAGACTCGAGTTTACTTATGGGTGATTCAATCATCTATAGAGACTCAATACTGGTAAGCTGGAAAAGAAAACACCAACTCATATAACTCTCTAAGATAGTTTAACATCTGCTAGCTAATGGAGCAAGCAGTCTTGCAAAAACTAATGGAAGTGTCAAGATTAGTGATCGAGTTGAATTTGTAAAGTGGCAAGAGCCGATTATGTAAGGGTAGCACAAGTAGCGATACAAGTGATGAAAGTAATTTTATTGGCCTGAATTACATGATTAATATGTTCCATTAAGCAAATGAATTAAGATGGAAAGCCACTCTGCACGTAGGATGAGTCAGTGGATTTTAGGCATATTCAGACTACTGCTCAAGAATTTGTGTTGCAACAACGTTGGAAATGTCTATCAGAAAACTGTTATTTTGCCACGAGGATTATGGACAAAACTTAAGAGGTCAGAAACTTCTCCATTGTCAGACAGATAGAGAAATACTGCTGTTACTGGATCATCCTTTTTCCATGCTAAAATATGTGCTTAGGATTCTGCATGTCAACTAGCATTATGTTAAAGATGGTTGAGCCTATCGTGTCTTCTCAGCTGTATATTTTCTTATGAAGCTATGAATGTATTTAGTACAAGTGTTCTCTTTATTTGGATAATCATAGACCTTTCTTTCTTTTATTCTGAACATCATGTTACTACACGTAATTCAAGTAATTGTTTGCTGTCCTGCCATGATTATTTGGCTGGAGGCAGATTTATACCTATATTCTGAGTATGGTTTCACTAATAGTTCCTCTCTCACTTTTGTCCTTGCGCTGTTACTTCAACAAGCCTGGGACTTTTGAGACTAATAGTTCCTCTCTCACTTTGGTCCTTATAGCATTAGTTCCTTCAGCAGCTTTCGTCTTTCCATGTATCTGAACTTTGAGACTGTAGAACCATTAATGCTTAGTTTCTGCCCGTATGAGTTGAGGGCACAAATTATTCTTCGTTTATCTTATTTATATTTTCTTTTGTGGTGGTTTTCTGATTTTCTTACTTCTCAAGTGTCGCAGAAGTCGTCCTGGCTTCAGCATACCTCTACATGATCGGCATTGTGTACACTCAAGACAGAAAATGTTTCCGACTTCGACATTTCACTTCACTGTGCTGTTAGCCTAACACTCAAATCATCAGGCCTCAAGACCGAACCCCTCAGGGAAGACCTTATAATGTGTCCAACCTGCTTGCATTGTACCCTTTTGTATCCATCCATTATGCTCCACGACTTTTTGAATAATTTCAGGAAAGACGGGGAATCCAAGAATGAAACTGGCAACCAATTTGGCACCTGAAATCATCGAAGGTAAAAGGCTGAAGGGCATTGGGTTGCCTTGTACTGGTGGACTTTTGAACTACTTTTATGTAAATTCTTTGATCTTTTGAACCATATTGGGACTTTGGCCAAGAGGGAACATTTCACAGAAAAGATGTATGAAAAGATTTTCAGACAGATTTTGTTGGCAGAGAAACCATATTCATTGTTTTTCCGTACTGTAAGTTCCTTCTTCTGACTCTCACAGACGAGTTATTTTAAAATAAGTAATTTCTAATTAAAAGTAACAAAAAAATATTCTATTAGCAGAAGCTGCATATGCATCAACATGTGTTATTACAAACTAACATTCTTGATACCAGATTGAGTGAAATAGAGATTGAAATAGTTGTTAAGGGTTATATATCCCACATCGATAAATGATGTTGACACAGACCAATTAATAAAGATCTTGGGCTACTCTTCTTAATAAGGTTGACCTTTTAAGATGGACC